AATTCTGAATCTCCCTGTATCTGGATAATTTACTTAATGTGACATGCCGTCCTTAAGGTTAAAAAATCATTCGTCTCAAAAGAAAGGCGAACAGAGTTAGAGAGCAGCCCTGAATAATTCCAAAACATGCTAGAAAACTACCAAGAGTATATCCTAACTATTCTTTTTCATAATCTATCACATCGATGACCTACAACTCAATCATCTTTCTTTAAAGACTTAGCTCAGGGTCTTCCCTGGTGGTCCAGTGGGTAAGACTCCGCACTCCCAATGCAGGGGGCCCAGGTTTGATCCCTGGTAGGGGAACTAGATCCCGTACGCATGCCACAATTAAGACCCGGCGTGGCCAAAACAAATAAATAAATAAATAAAGACTGAGTTCAGATATCCTCTCCTCTAAAGTCTCCCCAGACTCCCCGGCTGAGTGACCCCCTGTGTATACAACTGTATTATTGCACTAAATTAAATTATCTTCACAGGGGCCCTCTCCCTGATAAATTGCAAGCTGCTCAAAGGCTGAGCCTGTCCTACTCTTCTCTGGATCCACAGCACTTACCACCATGCATTCAAAAAGAACCATGGACTTAAACTGCAAACTCAACCACATTTTAAATAGTTTACATTTGCAGATGCTCCTCATAATTTCTTAAGCAAATTTTGACATTATTTTATTTTAAAATAGGACCTATAAAAAAAGAGATAAATACAGAACACATTATTAATTTTATAGATGAGAAAGGCTCAGCAAAGTGAACTTAGCCCAGCTCAACCAAAGTGAACAAGCCCTGTGAGTCTAATCCCATCGTAACACGTGACAGATATAAAAATAATCTGCATAAGTACCAAAGGTCATGAAAACTATGAAAATTCTTTTTCATCACACCTTTCTTATAAATCTAACAAACAGTATAGACTGCTGGTTCATCACTCTTCCAATAGCAAATACAGAGGTAACAGAAATAATGGAAAAATGAAAGGTAGTTAAGTCTAGATTCACAAATATAACCAAATAATTTTTTCCTTTTCTATAACTTTTATAAATGTTCCTGAATACCAATACATATATTATGAAATAAAATTCAAAAAGACTAATTTATTATTTCTACTCTTTAAAAGTTATCAAAAGAAAGGAAGGGCTCCACATCACATATCATTAGGGAAATGCAAATTAAATCAACAACGAGATACCATTACACACCTATTCAAATGGCCACAATCTGGAACACCGACAACACCAAATGCTGACGAAGATGTGGAGCAATAGGAACTCTCATTCATTACTGGTAGAAATGCAAAAGGGTACGTACGGCCACTCCGGAAAACAGTTTGGCAGCTTCTTACAAAGCTAAACTTACTCTCACCATATGATCCCACAACCGTTCTCCCTGATGTTTACCCAAAGGAGTTGAAAACGTATGTCCACACAAAAACCCACACAAGGATGTTTATAGCAGCTTTATTCATAACAGCCAAAACTTGGAAGCAACTGAAATGTCCTTCTGTAGATGAATAGATAAACTGTGGTCCATCCAGACAATGGGATATTATTCAGTGCTAAAAAGAAATGAGTGATCCAGCCATGAAAGGCACTGGAGAAACTTAAATGTACATTACTAAGTGAAGGAAGCCAATCTGAAAAGGATACATACTTTATGATTCCAACTATATGACATTCTGGAAAAGGCAAAACTATAAAGATCAGCGGTTGCCAGGGGTTGGAAGAAGGAAGGGATGAATAGGCAGAGCACAGAGAATTTTTAGGGCAGGGAAACTATTCGGTGTGATATTACAGATACATGCCATTACACATTTGTCCAAATGCATGGAATGTACAACGCCAATAAAACACAGTGTAAAACATGGACTTTGGGTGATAATGATGTGTCAATGCAAGTCCATCAATTGTGACTAATGTACCACACTGATTGGGGATACTGATGATAGGGGAGGCTCTTCCAAGTGTGGGAACTGAGGCTGCATGGGAAATCTCTGTACCTTCTGCTCAATTTTGCTATGAACCTAAAATTGCTCAAAAAATAAAGTCCATTTAAGAACAGAAAGGGGGCAATTTGAGTCTATTTTTCAATAATAATCTGATGCCTAGTCTATTATAATATCCTAATGGTATTTGGGGCAAAGTTAAATATCCTGAAAAAGAGGAAAGGCCACCAAAGTATTTTTTAAATTTGATAAGCTGAATAGTTAATACCTAAAATGTTCAAATTTTTAAAACAGTGCAAGAGTATGCAATGCAAATTTTTCCTTTCACTTCTATTCTCCAAACACCCAATTTTCAAGGTGGTTTTTTTTTTTAAGTTTTATTTCATGGGACAATATTTCTACTATTGTCCTTCCAGACACAAGTGACTATTCTGAAATCATGGCACTTGTTCCAAAAAATATGAGTAGCTCCCATGTCTAATAGTAGGTATAACAGAAAATATTTAAGCTGAGAACCTTGCTCCTCAAAGTGTGGTCCCCAGACTGGCAGCATTAGCATCATCACCTGTGAGCTTGTTGGAAATGCAGAATTTTGAGTTCCATCCCAGACCTACTAAAGTAGAACTACGTTTTAACAAGATGCCCAAGCGATCTGTATGCACTGGTATACATGACAACGCCACCTCTGTTTTCATAGAGCTTACAGGCTAAGGAGATAAAATATTCAAATAACTGCAACGAAGGATACACAGCATAGACTACGCAGCTACAAGAGTTTGGGGAGAGATCAGCTTTGGGCCCTAAGGGGTCTCCACTGCCCCAAGATAAAATGCCAGCTCCTGTGAAGGGGTCTGTGTGCCGTGCACATCCTCGTCCCAGCCCATCTGTTCAGCTCACCCTCTGCTACCCCCTACAGCAGATTTCCTGCCAGCCTGACCAACAGCCTGTCACTGAGGTTCCTCCAACGCACCTGCAGGCCTCTGCATGTGCTACCCCGGCACACCCTGCCCCGCCCCGGCTACCTCCTCCTTGGCCACCTTCCGGAAGAGGCAGGAGCCCCTCCAGGCTCTCCCATGGCACAACCCAGCTAGCTGATGTCTACCCTCCCCTGCCAGAGGAGCTCCTCCAGGGCAGAGGAAATGCCTAGGGGTTATTTTCTACCCAGTTTAGTATGCTCATCCAATCGGTGAATGAATGAACGAGAGGTGCTTCAGGGAAGGGATGAAGACGAGAAGGGCTTAGTCAGTCAGAAATGGAAGATCACTGCAGAGGCACATTTAGGCTAAGATCGGATTAGTGAATCTGTCTCGGGAGAACAAACTATAATTTGCTTTTTTCTCATTATGAGATCTGCTCCAGGCAGTGTTCCGTTGTGGATTAGGTGGGGTTTCTACCCCTGCTTTTCTCCATTCTCTACTCGTAAAACCAACCTGTGCCCGAATTACTGTCACTCTAAGCAACTAGAGCTCCTGAAGCGCAGAGAGAGGCTGCTGCCACTACCCAACAAGCACCCCACAGGAGCGCCGCTGAAATCTTGGTCTGGGCTACACCAGCTCCGCTTAGCAGACGCAGCAAATTTTTCAAATTCAAAGAGTGGCTTGACTACGACAAGTTCTTCCCTCTTCATTCAACTCAAACATGTACTAATTAAAAGTAATATAAGTCTACAGGCAAAAAAATGTTAATACATATTTTAAAATTTTCTATCACAACCTAGGACAAAACCTCAGCAACAAACCGACATCAGACTGACTTGAAGCAAGACAACAGAACTGCCGCCTACATACTAGCTACAGGCAGATTCACACCTTCAGGAAGGCTGCTGTGCACTAACAGGCAAAATAAGTCCAACTGGTCAGAGGCACCCAAGGCAGGCTGATCCAGTCTGCAGGAAACCTCAAAGGTAAGTAAATAAGCCCAACACCAGGACACAAGTGTGCCTGCAAGCTGTGGTTAGAGGCAGCTGCGCAAAGGACAAACTGTGCTTGTATTCAACACAGAAGAAGCAGTTGGTTACTCGGTCATTTGCACCAACCTCAGACGCTGGGTCACAATCATTTCATATGTATCTGAGGTATCACTACCACCTCCTGCCTGACCACACCAGCCTCCTAAGCGGTGCCCTTGGCTTCCACCCAAAGTAGACATCACTCCTCGCTTTCAAGCCCACAGCACTTACAAGCAAACCCCGCACAGTGCCTGCAGAGCCCTTCACAGCCTGGCCCAGATCAGCCCTCCCCGACTCAGGGCCCAGCTCTCCCGGCCCAGCTCTCCGCGCTTCACCTGCCTTCTTCCTGCTGCTCTACCAGGACCACCTCCAGGCCTGTTCCCTGCTGCTCCCTCCCCCCGGAACATCTTCAGGGCCCTCTTATCGCTCTGGTGAAATGCCACCTCCCTGCCACCCAGGCCCCATGCACTCTCAACCAAACCACCCTGCTAACTTGCCTTCCTAATACTCACCACCACCTGCAATTACCTTGCTTATGCTTGTTTCCTTCTTCACCATCTCTCCCACCTAGAACTTGAACGCCATGAAAACAGGCACCTGGTCTGCCTGTTCACTGCTCAACTCCAGCTCCTCAAACAGTACCTGGCACATAGTAGGTGCTCAATAACTGTATCCGTGTTGAACACATTTGTTAAATAACTTGTTGAATGAATAATGGCTATAAAACCCATGTTTTAAGCAAAGCCAAAATATGAAAAACCTGGTTTTACATAAAATATTAATCAGTGATTGAGTACAAGTTTTAAAAAGGACTCCTTCCCTAATGCATTTTTAAATACTTGGCTTACAGAGCTTCAGCGTGCACTTCGGAGCACAGGCTCCGGACGCGCAGGCTCAGCGGCCGTGGCTCACGGGCCCAGCCGCTCCGCAGCATGTGGGATCTTCCCAGACCAGGGCACGAACCCGTGTCCCCTGCCTCGGCAGGCAGACTGTCAACCACTGCGCTACCAGGGAAGCCCAAGTGTGCACATTTTTAAAATATTTATTTATTTGGCTGTGACGGGTCTTGGTTGAGGCACGCGGGATCTTCACTGCGGCATGTGGGATCTATTTCCCTGACCGGGGATCGAACCCGGGCCCCCTGCATTGGGAGCACAAGTCTTAACCAGTGGACCATCAGGGAAGGCCCGCACATTTTTAAAAGATAAACCTTTGGCACAAAATGAACTAACTCCTTCAGGGCATGAATAGTGCCTGGTACACAGAAGGCACCCACTAAATATCTGCTGAATACATATGTAAGCACTGGAAAATAGCTTAATACAAGGCATGAGCTATATGAAACTGGACTTGGATTTGAGAACACAGTAAATTTAGCTATATTTAGGTCCCATTTTCCATTTCACCTGATAAACTGACATATATTTTTTTAAAATCCACTAATTTGAGATACTAGCAGTAATGTTAAGCGTCATCTTTACAGGCGGGTGCAGATCCAAGGAAATTTAGAAAGTTACCTGGCAGTTCTGTTGCTGTTAGTCTTCACCAATAGGTAAGTGGAGGCATAGAAATAATCAACAGAAATACTCAGAACTACCAGGGATGTCTGTGGACTTAGTATAAAAATCACAAACCTTGAGAAACTTGTTTTTATTTGTACACTGTAATCTACGTAAAAACTCCACTGTTGGGACTTCCCTGGTGGCGCAGTGGTTAAGAATCCGCCTGCCAATGCAGTGGACACGGGTTCCCAGCCCTGGTCCAGGAAGATCCCACATGCCGCGGAGCAACTAAGCCTCTGCGCCACGACTACTGAGCCCGCGCTCTAGAGCCCTCAAGCCACAACTACTGAGCCCACGTGCCACAACTACTGAAGCCCACGCACCTAGAGCCCGTGCTCCGCAACAAGAGAAGCCACAGCAATGAGAAGCCCTCACACTGCAATGAAGAGTAGCCCCCACTTGCCACAACTAGAGAAAGCCTGTGCGCAGCAACGAACACCCAACACAGCCATAAATGAATAAATTTATTTAAAAAAACAAAAACAAACTCCAGTGTCCCCATTGAAAGACTAATCAAGAAACCACATCTCTGGGCTTCCCTAGAGGCGTAGTGGTTGAGAGTCCGCCTGCCGATGCAGGGGACACGGGTTTGTGCCCCGGTCCGGGAAGATCCCACATGCCGCGGAGCGGCTGGACCCGTGAGCCATAGCCACTGAGCCTGCGCGTCCGGAGCCTGTGCTCCGCAACGGGAGAGGCCACAACAGTGAGAGGCCGGCATACCGTAAAATAAATAAATAAATAAATAAATAAAAAAGAAACCACACCTCTATAAGCCTGGCCTCATTTTAATATAATGCACACCTGCCTTAATGTTCCAGGACACGTCTAATTTTAAAAAGTGTATCTTAATTTTTCCCTTAACAGATAATCTCTTTGAAATAAAATTCTTCCTTATTTTGGCATTCTTTATTCTTACACCATGAAATTACTCTACATGTTCAGTTTTCAAACACTACTAATGCATCACCCAAGAAAAACAAGTTAATGTTCAGGTAACCACCTGCATCAAGTGACACCCACTCCCTTTCTTCCCTAACACGGTGTTGGGCTGCAGTTTACAAAGGTCAAAGTAGGAATTAGATGTGCAAGTGTTTGTGTGAGGTGTGTGCTCATATGCATTTATGTGTTCTTGAAGGGTCATTCTAAAATCTAATATAAATGCACTTCGGGAGTATGCAGTTCTGTGTATTATCTGTGCCTCTTGTTTATACTTTTAAAACATTTCCTAGTCTAAAATGCAAAGTGTGTTAATGACTTGTCTCTGAACTGAACACCAAACAGGTTCCATAGAAAGCCACTCTTATAAGCTATAACCCCAAGAAATGAACTTTCAAAGAGTACCTTCATATTCTAAAAGCTCTCACAGAATAACACAGTCTACAAAAATCAATTACAGGATGCAATTTACAATAGCACAACACCTAGAAAAAATGAAATACAATAGAACTACACTTTTTAAAATTATGCTGACAACTGACATAACTTTACTCCAAAAACATATCATAGTTTTTTGTTGTTGTTCTGTAGTTTAAACAAATTTGGAATAACATGATTCAGAACTCAGATCAAGTTATCAACATGCTGTTCATTTTTTACATGAGCTTTTCTAAAGTACTGCCAGTTGCAGAAAGCTGACAATCCTTGATTTCTTTTTTAAATAAGGCTTTGGCTTGCTGTTTTCACTGTCACCTCTGTAGGCCAATGTAAACAAAAGTCCACCTCACTCCTATAAGTGAAAAGGATCTTATTAAATATGTTTTAGGAAAGTAAATAAAACTATAAAACAGTACTAGCAGTAAGGTTTTCTTAGATTTACCTCTTGATTTTCGAATAAAACAACACAATGAGTCTATTTTTTTCCCTCCTTTTGGCCTTGTAGTGTACAACAAAAGTAGACTCAAATCCTCAACCAAGAATGAGTAATATACACACCCTGAATTACTTTATAAACTATATAACATTCTTAAATTTTTATTTATAAAAGCCAATTAGCTATCACTTCAAGCCAGAAAACCTGGGCATTATTAATTTTTCTTCAGTTCAAAACTACCTTATAACAACTCACAACTTGTTTGAAAGTCACTTCAATTTACTACTAGCTATGTCTCAGGAAGTGAAGATTCTGGTGAGGATGGGTAGTGTCCGTCTAGTAACTAGTGTTATCGCTTTCTGTGTCTCCAGTTTATTACCACTTAAATGACTGGCAAAGCTTTATCTGTCTCATAAATAGGTATTTATAAAAATGTACTTTAACACTCTAAAAGCGCTATATCATAACTAGAGATACCACCACCTATTATTTGTAAAGGGTCACAGAACGGCTAACAGGTTCTCCCATTATGAGTTTATTGCTCAACCAACCTGCCATACACCAAGAGCGAGCTCTGCGAAGGGGCTGGCCCGTGGGGCGCGAGGAAGGTGCCCCATTAACCCGCCGACCTGTGGAAGCTTTGAGAGCTGCATCATTCAAAACACACAAACACCTGGTACTCCGGGAGGGTATTATTCTATTACTGCCTTCTCAAACTGATGAGAACTCTAGAAATCCACTCCAATCCCTTCATTTTTGCGATAGCGGAATTGGCCCGGACTCGTAACTTTTAGTGATTCTGAAGGCGCCAATGTTCTGAAAATAAACTTTAAGGAAATAGAACTTACGTTTAAAATTCAGACTCCGTGCTCGCTTCGGCAGCACATGTACTAAAATTCAGACTCCAAAACCTGCCCCTGGAAACCAGCGAGTTAAAAACAAAAGACAGGCATCCTCTACGCGCACCAAGTTCAGCCTTCGGGAATCCTCAGTGCACTATCCCACACAACCGAGCACAAACCTGTACCCGGGAGGCTGACGCGCGAGGTCCCGCCGCCGGGAAACACCTCGCGGTGAATCCGCGGCGTGAGGGTGGGGGGACTTCGGGAGCCGGAGAAGCCCACCCGCCCTGCGTCGAGCCTCACTCTCCCCACCTGTGAAATGGGCGTGACGCCATTGGCCCGTTCGCCCCACGGGGAAGAAAAGCTAATGAATGAGAACCACCTGGTGAACGGCCCGGGCCGCCTTGGCCGCTCTCCGGCAGCGGTCCTCGGGCAGCGGGGCGTCCTCGGGCAGCGGGGCGCCCCCGCCGCGGTCGGATTCCCCCCCAAGGCCGCGGGCGCTCTCCGCGCTCCGGACTCCCCGCGGCCCGACGGTTACCAAGGTTCCCCAAGCCGCGCCTGCCCGGACGCCGGCTCCCGGGCCGTCAGCTACCGTAAAGGGCGCCGTCCCGACGCCGCCTACCTTGGCCACCCAGCTGAACAATGGTGACATCGCGGGCCGGGCGGAGGCTTGTCGCCCGCAGCTCCGGCTCACTCCCGCCGCCGGCCCGAGGGGCGGCGGGCAGCCGGGGGCG